ACCCAAAGCTGAGTTCAGAGTGGGAGGGGGAGCAGAGGCAGGAGCTTCCCTGGCCTGTTCCACCTGGCTTGGAGCCTCCAGTGAAGCAGAACTTCAGCTCTTCTCCCCTTCTCCCTGGGGTTGCTTTGGGTTGCTTACACAGCTACAGACTTTTTTCTCTCAGTTACTCCATATCCCAACACCAGGAATGTTGGAAGCTCTTGGTGTTAGTGCTGAGCCCCACCAGAATGAAAATTCTGGTGTTTCTGCACAGTGTTTGTGTGGTTTGAGCTCAGCACCTTCCCCTCCACCAACCCAGGCACACTCAGACTGTTCTGCACTTCGTCCCCACTCTTTTCTTCTTTTTGCTCGAGGATTGAATCCAACTTTCTCTGTAAATCCTTCTCTCCCACTTACTGGGAGGGATGACACTTTTAAGCCCAGTTTGGAATTCTGCTCCTAGGCTTGAAAGAGCTGTCTGACAAAATCTACTTGAGATTTTCCCTGTGACATTATGAGGTCACTAAATCTTGACTCTGAGATAAAACTTGGGAGGAAGATTGTCCCTAAATTGAATTATGGTGGCAGATAGTTCAGATTAGTAGGTTTATCATCCTAAAATAAGCCAAGAGGAAAAGCACTGTCGTTCAGTCAGACATTTTAGTCTGTTTTTCTTATATATAGAAGGGACTTCTGTCAGAAATTCCCTGCGGGATCATTGCTATTGTTTTCCCTCAGTGTAGCCCACAGGAATTAGCAGGGAAATGGGGATTACTAAAAATGAACACCAGCAGCAGCTGATGTCTTCAGAAGCTTAGAGATGGATCAGGGGTTGTCACCACCAGTTCCACAGCGAGTCCAGGAGCTAAATAAGCTCCTTTAATGCCCTGGACATAAATTGTAACATCCTGGGCCAGGACTACAAGGTGGTGCTGACACTTCCCTCTTGTTCTTTCTTGCAGAGCTGGAATAAATTGGGATTTCTTGGACTTTGATCCAAGAAAATATGAGGAATAGCAGTGCATTACCCAGACACCTTCATGGTGTTCCCCATCAAAGGGCTCGTTGTCATCCCCTGATCTCAGAGACCAACTGTCCTTATGGGGACATTGCAAATAAGTGTTTCAGAAAGCAATAACTTACTGAATGAGCCCAGGGCTGGCTCCAAGTCCTGCCCAGCCCTGAACTCTTGATGCCACTCCAGTGTTGAAAAGTTATTTTGAAGTCTGTGTTGGACAACTCTGGTATTTGCAGCACCTGCAAAAAGGGATTTAAACCTTCCCTGACCTGCAGCCTGTGCTGGTGCCTCAGGACAGACCCCCCTGGCAGCACCTCAGGGCTCCTGTGCTGAGGAGCAATTCCAGGGCTGGCAGCACTGACACTGAGGATCATCACCCACCTGCCAGCCATCCATGGGATCAAACTGTCTGTGCTGGGGAAAACATCTTCTGGTACTGTGACTGACCAATGGGAACTGTGTGGGACTGGAACTGTGCAGAGCAGGACATCCAGATGCTCTTTGTGGAGCTCAAGGGGGGGGTTTCTCTCTGTGGGTGAACTGGGGGCTTCAGCAGAGCACTGGTAATTTAAACAAACAACTTAATGTTCTGTCCTGGACTGAGCAGAAAACCCAGTTCTATTTAAATTTACAAGTAAACTTCATTTATAAACTAAAGCCAGTGTCATAAGCTTTGAGCCTTCCAGGAGTTTAGTGCTGTGCCTTTCTTGAAACCACTGTTAGAGACCAGAAAATCTGAGCTAACCCTGGAATAAATACTGAGTGATAATGGATCTCACAGCAATTCTATTTCACTTCTTGTTTTCTCAGATGCAGCTGAAGAGGAAAAGATGGAAACAGAGGCAGAGGGGCAGCAGGCTGAGAAGGTGAGTGGGTCTGCAGTGCTGCTGGGAAGAGACTTCTGGCACTGAAAACCTGAATCCTCGTGTTTTAGGGAGCCTGGGAAGGCAGGTGGGCATCGTGTGCTGGTCAGTGTGTCCATAGGGAGTAGTCCTCAGCTCCACAGAGTGAATTCATCTCAAACCAAAGCAATGAGATACGAGTGTGTTGATCCCTGGTCCTGAGGAGAAAGGGTGGACTGGGAGGAAATGTAAATGGGGTGGTATTGGCATTGGAGGAATGGGAGATTGGAGGAAGGGGAGATTG